ACTGTTGGGTTGTTCATGCTCAGTCATAACTAAGGTTTTGTCAGTGAAGGCCAGTGTTTTTTTTTTTTTATTGTTTCTTTTTCTTTTAGCCCAAAGAAAGTACATGCTTCTTCAGGATTAGATCACATACTTTTTTTAATGTTTTTTTTTCCATCTCATTACTAACAGGCTTGAACCTGTTTAGATATTCAATCAGACAGGATTGGGTGTGTTCATTCTTATATGCCCCACAGTGCTTTGCACATAGTAGATTTTAACTTAATGAGTTATCATTTAAATCTGAAGTCATGGGATCTGAAGGGTAAGAAGCATCATAGCTCAGGGAAAGGAGATTTGTGTGAACCATTTGGAGTGAGGAAGTTCAGTTCCTCGGCTGGCTGATATATGCAAGGATCCTAAAAGTAAAGGTCTGTGCTAATCTCTTGTATGTAGTCAGCACATACTGAAGGCTTGGAAGAAGGTGGCAAACACAGATAAACAGGGCAGGCTGAAGTCTGAGTTATGAAGAATCTTGCAAACAAGTGTATACATCACTTGAAAGTGTAATAATGTGAGCTGAGAAGGAAAGGGTAGAGGCTGTAGTGCAGGATGGTAGGGAAGCCATGTCAGGAGTGGGAATTCAAGGATGGTGTCTGAAAAATTGTCATTGGAGCAGGAGTGAGACAGCCACAGCAACTGCGATCACAGTGGCAACATCCAGTGAGAACAAAAAGATTGGGAAAGAGTAGATTTAGGGCAGGAGAGAGAAATATTATGCTTGAAATGTACATTGGGCATTGGATGACGGTTTCAAGTAGATAGGGGTGCTAGGAGCCTGACACCATGAAGTCACAGAAGTTGTTACCCAACTGTATTCATTAGTGGACAGGTGTTATATAACTGGGGATGCATTCACCAGGAGAGTGCAATGGATTGGGAGCAGGGCCAAGGACTGAGCCTCATGTTAGCGCATGGGCTTCAGGTGCCTTTGGCAGACTGAAGGACTTAGAAAACAGATTAAGACAGTGTTTCAAAGAAGAGATCCATGATTAAAAATTTTGCTGAGAGCCAGCTGAATTTTCAGGAGCTGGTAGCCAACTTTAACTGTTTGTGGTACAGTTGGAAACACTTGGGACCAGAAGTGTTTTGGGCCTCTGATTTTGGAATGTTTGTATATTCACAGTGATGTCTTAGGGATGGGACTCACCAGGATGAAATCCATTTGTTTCATACACTTCTTTTTGTGTTTCATCATAAGACTTTTGTTGTGTTGTCAGACACCACAAGTTAGAGTTCTACTCCAGGACCTTGGTTCTGTAGATGTGTAAGTCTAATCTAGACCACTGCACTATTCCTTTTCCAAAAACAGATATCACCTACATTTTTCTGATGCCCTTTAAAAACAAACAGACAAACAAACAAGCCTGTTGTAGCTTTTTGAATCAAAGTCACTAAATTTGAAACAAGTTCAGTGTCATTTCCTATAACCATTATTAACTCATATATTTGGGTTTGAGAAACATAAGCAACACTTGTCCACATTAGAACCCTGTATTTTCTGCCCAAGAAATTTTTGATTTGAACAAGAGACACAATCTCCTGAGTAAAGACCAGTTTCCTCATCATTTCTTTAACCAGAGCCTCTTTTTTCTTTCCAAGAAGACAGCTCTATATTGATATAATTGTTGTAATTAAAGTACCTCTAGAGGGCTTCTCTAGGTCCCTTCACAACAACTGTGTGGACAACTCTGGAATATCAACAGCCTAATAGTTGAGAATGCTCTTCATTCTTGAAGTACATATATGGCAAAGCCATGTCCTTACACACACTTCCAAATTCTACAGTATGCCCAAATGATGGACATAAACACTATGTGCACTCCTAGTGTTTCTTTTCAGAAAATTATAATTTAGTGGTTTAGGCTCAATTTACAGGGCAAGAACTTTCTCTTTTTCTGTGTGTGTCATTTCAAGGAAAATGTTGGATATTGTTAAGAGTTAGTCCCTTATCTTTGCTCTCTTATCAGGACTTGAAGTTTATTTTATCTTACAACGATTTTTCAGGCTTTGATTTTTTTTTTTTCTTCCAGAAAGATTTAGGGCAGAGTTGAAGCATTTCAATCTCAATCAGTTTATTTGGTATTGTGTTTTTTTCTTAAGTTATTTATACACACACACATACACACACACACACACACACAGAGAGAGAGAGAGCAGTAAGTGAGACCAATAGCGTTTTCTCTTCTTCCCTGAGAAAATTGTCTGACAAATGACTTAGGTGAGCTTCACACTGGAGATGGAGTTTCAGGTAAACATGCCCTTTGCTTCCTTTTCCTTTTCTGTTGGGGCTTACATCAAGGATCTAGGGCTGTCCCGTCCGTCTGTGCCTCCCCTCCCCCCCGCCCTGTATTGAGCTTCCAGTTAAGATTATTGTGTGATTGAGGTGGGACCTGTGCTTTCCCACCGTAGCACTTTCAGTCCAGGGTTCTCATGATTCCGTAGCAGACCAAGATGATGGTGTAGCCTCGTTTGTGTTGTCCTGCAAGACAGGCCGTCTCTGATGGACCATGAGACTGCAGGATATCTGCTGAGACTCACTTGTCCTGAGCAGGAAGCCCAAGTTGAGGAACTTGTGAATGAGGTCATTAGCTGAGGAGCAGTAGTGTGGGACTGGTCACCTCTGGGCTCTGGGGACTTTGGTCACTCCTTATCTCCTACCTGCCTGCCTTTCTGCTCCTTAGTCAGATCAATGTTTGGCAATTCCAGATTGTTTCAGAATCAGAAATTCTTGGTTACCGCTGCCAGACCTGTGAAATGCAGCTAGAGCCTTTAATGTGCATTTGATTCCTGTCACTTACTTTCCATTGTCAGAATGGCTGGAGCAGAACACATTCCAATGAAGTAGGGGAATGTTTACAATGCAAGAAGTCATGCTGAGAACTAATATTGGGAAGTATTCAGTAAGACGCTGCCATGTTTATTAAACATAATGATATGTGTCTGACACATTTTAAAATATATCTTCCAAAGTTATGACCAGGATTTTCTTCCTTTTTTATTTTATGTGTATGTATGTATTATATATGAGTGTATGTATGTCTACCACATGTGTCCAGGTCTCTCCCCCTGGCCCCCTACACTAGAGTTACAGATGGTTGTGAGTCACCCCTCATGAGTGCTGATACCTGAATCTGGTTTCCTGCAAGTAGCAAATGCTCTTTACTGCGTAGCCACCTTTCCAACCCCCAACTACTAGTATTTTCTCAAGTTCCCATAGTGTCTAGTAGGTGTTCTATTGCTGTAAAGAGACACAATAGTTAAGGCAACTCATAAGAGAAAACATTTTAAATTAGAGGCTTGCTTGCAGTTTTAGATTGTTCGTCCATGGTTGTTAGGGCAGGAGGAAGGCAGGGGTGACCCTGGAGTAGTAGTGGAAGGCTTTGCACTGTGATTGACAGGCAGCAGCAGGCAGAGAGAGGGAGACACCGGCTCTGGTGTGGGCTTTTAAAGCCACTAAGCCCATCCCCAGTGATCTATGTCTTCCAATAAGGCCACACCTCTTAGTCCTTCACAAGCAGTTCCACTAACTGGGGACCAAGCATTCAAACTTATGAGCCCATAGGGGTCACTCATTCAAACCACCACACACAGTATGTGGTACACACTAGGGCAGTACAGTCTCTGCACCCTGGAACTTCATCTGCTGTATACTTAATAAAGCAAGTGCATAAGATAATGGTCATCACTTTCCTTTAAAAATTAATCGAACAGACCTGTTTGCCTAGCCCCCTTGACAGCAAGATCATTAGCAGATCTTATTTTATTATTTGTGCTTCCTGACTTTTCCCCATACAATGTATTTTGTGATAGCCTGTATGAAGAGGAAGAAAGAAACAGGCTTTAGTGCTAGATATGCCGAAATAAAGAAGTAGAAGGAACAGGCTTCAACAGCAGAGTAACTGTCCACCTTTTGACAATATTGGGTGTCCTTGATATTTTCTGTCATTGAGAAGAAGAAAGGCCCGAGTGCAATTAGCTGCACAAGGAGGTGCCTTATGGACCCTAAGGTACTTGCTTACAAAGGTCAGGATGACTTTGATCCAGGTACATCTTCAAGCTTAATTTAAGAAGTGGTTTCGGGGGGCTAGAGAGGTGGCTGAGCTATTAAAGGCTAGGCTCATAACCAAAAATGTAAGTAATGGTTTTTGTTTTGTTTTGCTTTGCTTTCCTGCGGGAGTGTTTTGGATGATTTAACCAAGCGTGTTTTCCTTTTGCTTGTCTGAGAACTCTTACCCAGGCAGGGACCTCTGGACCTCATCACCTAAGGTCCAGCTTGTCACAGCTTGGACTCTGCTCCCTGAAGGATGACTGTTTTTTTCCAGTTAATACAACTCAGAGAACTAAAATGCTTCCACCAAACAGAAGGTTCTTCCTGCCTGACCCATGTAGAAGTATACTCTCCTTTTCGCACATGTTCTGGTTATACTGATAGCAGTTACTTACATTCCACTAGAAAGAACAGCATGACGGGTCTGAGCCTTCCTACTTGTCCAGTGAGCAGTGCTGGCTATACAGATTGTGTCCTGCACAGTAACGTTGTGCTCACCTCTTTCTGACCAACGAGTAGTCTCTCCTGGGTCCACACTCAGATTGAGAGGGTCCCAAGTCTGAGTCTTAAGTAGAAGGCTGAGGAGACAGTTTAGGGACCAATGAAGTTGGGGAAATTTGGGGTTCTTGGAAAAGCAGAGCAGATACTACCACACTATTAAGGCTGTCCGTATAACATCCTTGTTGCTGGGTCAGTAGTATGGGGTCAAATAACTTCAGTGGACGTTTCTATGATACCGTCACCAAGGAACTGGATAGTGTAGAAGCATGCTTATAGTCCATGTTATAGACAGTGAAGTCAACCATCATCACGTGTAACTTCTAGGTTGGGCGATTTGATTAGATAGACTATTTCTTTTTATCGCATTTGCCTGAAAAGATTTTAATGTCCATGTGACCTGTCCTTTGAACAGCACCCTGGTGGGGAAGAGGTACTGAGAGAGCAAGCGGGGGGCGATGCCACCGAGAACTTTGAGGATGTTGGGCACTCTACCGACGCCCGAGAACTGTCCAAAACCTTCATCATCGGGGAGCTCCATCCAGTAAGTCATTGCTTGGGTCTGGAGGTGCCTTTCTTCTTTTTCTGAGGCTACTGTTTGACATTGGTTAAGTCTAGATTTGCATCTACAGAAAACTTAAAAAAAAAGAATAGAACAAAAGCAATTTCTTCTGATTTTAGAATACTTTGTTTAAGACAGTGTCTCAATAAATAGTCCAGGCTGGCCTGGAGCTTCCTATGCAGCCCTGGCTGGCCTGGAACTCACTCCTCAGGCCTTTATTTCTCAAGTGCTGGGATTCAGGTGTGTATCACCATGCCGAGCCAGGACACCATTTTTGACAACCTTTCTTTGCTTTGCTTTTTTTTTTTACTATAGTTATACCTGTCCTCAAGGTTAGAATGCTGTTCTCCAAGGCCCTGTCTCAGGGACACCCCCCGTCTCTGAGAGCCCACAGAGAGACACTTCCACAGGGTAGAGCATCAGTTCAGTCAGTTTGTTCTTCAGCCAGGAAAGTAAAGGGTGGCCATGAGTACACTTTCCCCGATGAGAGACAAATAGCCCACTGCTCCAGCCCAAGTAAGCAAACAAGAAAATTCAAAGATAAGATAGAAAGATAGAGGCATATCCCTATTTTTATGTCTTATTATGTGTGAATGATGGCTCTTGTAAGAACCACAAATGAGGAAAAGATAAAAGTGGGCTCTTCTTAAAAGTCCCAGAAATCCATTTTAGAGCCCATTCTGTTGAGCTCTGTGTGTGTGTGTGTGTGTGTGTGTGTGTGTGTGTGTGTCTATCTGTCTGTCTGTTTCTGTGTGTGCCTGTGTCTGTTTGTCTGCTTGTCTATTTTGGAATTGCTGGGAGGCCAGATATACTTTGAGAGGCTCTGCCGCACTTATCTGGAAGGTTTATCAGCCCACACATTCTCACAATCACACTTCCCAGAAGTAACATGGGTGTATTGCATCTGCAAGGCCTGTCCTTGCAAGCATCCCTCCCTGTCCTGTTCCTTTAAGTTCTGTTCTCATGAGTCGGGAGGATGGGTTGCATTTAGGTCACCTCCTCATGAGGTTTTTCTGTGGTCAGCATTTAGATGCCCTTGGATTTTGATACCCTCAGCCTGAGGTTTAAATAATTGCTGGGAGATTACAGGCTTCACTGAGGCCATCATAACCAAAAGATGCATATCTTTGTGAAGTTGAGAATAGAGAAGGAAGGGAAGGGTTTTTTTTCAATTGTTCTCTGAATCAAAAGTCATAGTTCAACTCTAATAAGCCTCTAAACACCTGCACATATAAATAAGACAGTCAAGGATCCATTCTTAATTCTGGGACTGTAGACAAAAACGCCTCTTTTTCCTAAATCCTGTTAATTTTTGTTGTCAAACCACATGGATCAAACTTTGTATTTAACTTTGCTGAATGCCAAATGCTAGTCATTGAATAGTAATTTTAAAAAATTCTCAAAAAAGGTCAGCCCTTTGAAAAATGAGACTTTTACAGATATCCTATTCTTAATGACCACCCCTCTCCTTTTTCCTTACAGGATGACAGATCAAAGATAGCCAAGCCTTCGGTAAGTTTGCATAAGCATCTCAGATAGAGGAGTGATGGATAGAAGTAATTGACATGTACTAAATACAATGAAGATACACAAACTGGGGCAAAGGTCACAGCCTATACAGGTCTTTCTAGGCAAGGTAGTTATATAATTTAATTGACTTTGCAAAGCTTGGTTTGTGGTTTATTTCTTTTTTTTTTTTTAGCAAGTCCATGTGGTTTTGAGGAGAGCTTGTATGTTACTTTGTAAAACAAATGTGTTCCTTTTTAAAACATCGTAATTATCTATAAATTAAAGTCTAGGTGTACAGCTCAATAGAAAATTCTTGCCTAACATGCATAAAACCCTGGGTTCAATTTCCAGTAATAAACAGAGTAAGTTACATAAAACAGCATTGTGCTTTTCTCTGAAATATGTGATCTAAGCCTTATTTTCAGAGGACTTAACACCTGTTTCAGCTGAGGCATATTTTCCTCCCTAACTCTAAGGAGACTACCTGTGTCTCTCCCTTCTGTCTATCTTGTGGCATCTCCTAGCTCTTGAACTTGTAATTGCTTTGGTGTGTGGAGTAGCCGGTGGACAGAGCACACTTAACCAGTGGATTCTGGGACTCACACTGTCAGCATTAATGGAAGCCCTCCTGCCCATGTTTGCAAGAGGGAGCCGCTCTCAGTAAGACACGGCGGCTTTCTTTCATTTCATCATGTGTGACTCCATGGGTGTGAGTCTCTCACTGGAGTCTGCTTTTACTCACTGTTTAAAGCAGATCCTTTTGCTCTCAAGATTTTAAAGATGGACCAGCTTTGGGATATATTATTGTTTTAAAACAAACAAACAAATTCCCTTTGTTCCCTACTGTGATTTTGCTTAAACAAAGCAGAGTTGGGAGGAAGGGGGGTGACCCTTGCTGGCTATTTGAGAGGCTGGAAGCAAGTGACACAGAAAACAATATATTGCTGCTCTTCTGGGTGCTTGGTTATTGCTGCCAAATAAAACTGTGTCTTTAAGTGTTTCCCAGGGTCACATGCAGTCATCTGTAGGCTGGAGAATGTGTTCTGTGGTCTGATGTCTTAAACAACCACCATGCTTGGAGCTGGAGCTCAACTGTTGAGCACTGCACACATGTGTGTATTAGTCCTCAGTGTTGAGAAAAAAAATTACCTAAAATGTGTAGTTTAATGTTGAGAAATATGATGTACTGGAGAGTCTTAGCTTGAACCTGTCCAAAAGAAACTACATTGCCAAGTTAAGGTATTTATAAACACAGAAATTACACATCTTTAAATGTATCCACAGCACGGGCATACATAGAAGGTGTGAATAGTATCAATGCCCTTCCATGTTATTAATTTTCAAAACACCTTGTATTTGTCTCTGATCCCCAGACCCTGATGTCCACCTCTGGCTTCCAGTTGGTCTCTTTAGTCAGTTGGAGCTGCTCTCTTTAGTTCCTGGAGTCTCCACATTTCTTAGGAAGGCGTGAGCTGGGTTACAGGAACCTAACTGAGATATCTGGTTTGCAAAGGCCTTGGGAACTCAGTATATTTTTATATGAAGCTAATCATGATTTATGTTGTCTCACACGACCTTTGTAAGTCATTATACATGCCATAGACCAGTAGTTAGCCTTTTTTGCTACAAGTTGGAAGCCCTCCAGAGTGCACAGAAAACAGGTGGCTGAGGTCATTGCTGATGGCCTTGAAGGTTCCTTCCCTGCACCGAGCTGAGCCTGTCAGAGCCCTGGCCACTAGAGAAAATGGGCTGCTTTCTCCCACTGCTAAGTGGTGATTACAGCTTAAAGTCTCAAGCATTGTGGGTTTTAAGGCTATGAGGAAAATAGACAATCCAAAAAACTATATGATTTTGTTTTTTAAGTCTTACCTTTTTGAGGGTCATTGTCACCCTTGATGGTGGTGGTTAGATGCTAGGATCATTTTATATACTTATATTTAAACTTTTAAATATCTATTTCTTTTGTGTGTGTGCGCGCACACATGCTTGTGTGCCTCAAGACACACCCATAGAGGTCAGAGGGTAACTTTCAGGGGAGCTGGTTCTCCTTCTACCGTGCAGGTCCCAGGGACTAGGAAAGCTCAGGTCATCAGGCTTTGAAGCAGATACCTTTGCCTGCTGGGCCATCTCGACTACCCTTATAATAGCATCTTAAAAGGCTTGGGCATGTTTGAGCTTCAGCAATATTCTAACCTTACGTTGGTACCTTTATGTTAGCAATGCCTCCACCAAGGTGGGGGAGGCAAGGAAGGTCACCTGAGGTTGCACAGGGTCTCCTAAAATGTGTATACCCCTGCCTGTGTCACAAGCGAGTATCACAAGTGAGTGTCTGCCTCCTTACACGAGCTATCCGCCATTCGATAGTAGTGTAGTGTGCCTTCCATGAGCTCTTTGATGTCGTCTATGATTTGTTTCTTCTAGTAACTGAACATTGTTGTTTGCGTATTTAATTGTCTCTCAGTGTTAGTTATGCTCTTGAAAAATAACCTTGTCCTGATTATGAATTCCTACGGTTACCAGGATTTAAGATTGATTAAAAAGCTAACAGGTGTGACGTGTTCTTTTGAAATGACTTATTTGTCTTCCTCTACTGTGTCAGGAATCATAAAGGTGATGTGTCAAGGTTGGTGTGTGTTGCTGGGCTGCTTTGCTCATGCACCCCTAAAATGAACTTACCTTTTTTGGCGGGGTTTCCCTAACATGCCTCGCTGCAAACAGCTGCTTGCTTTACGTCATCTCTGCCACAGGAAGCGGCAGGTGTGACTTCCTGACAGGGATGGCCTATATGTCGCTGCTGTTGTTGATGCACTAACAGGTGTGGAATATTACAAGTGCTTCCTAACGTGTGTTAAAGCCTGAACGGGTGTGCTTCAGAGGGCCACGGGGTTTAACAGTTTGAGAAAGTATGCGGTTTTTGTGTTTTGTTATTCTCTCTTTCTAAAGGGTGCTCATGAGAAGGGCTATGCTTAGAAAGTGCTGGAAGGTAAACACCTTTATTTGTTGGTTAGGCAGAGAGTGCTTTCTCAGTTATTCTGGGCTCTCCCTGGTGTCATTCAGTAAGTTAAAGAAGTCTCATGAAAGCATATGACCTGACAATTCTTACCATTTTGGTTGACACACTTCTAATGTAGTTTGTGCACTTTTATTCCCTATCAGATTTGAATGGATAAATGAAATTTTTATGTCAGATTCCACGTTTTGAAGAATTAAATGTCCCTTCCAAAAGATAGTAATGTAGTCTTGTATATGTGTCCGTGGGCTTAAATGTTAAAAGTGTGGATTATTATATGTATTCCTTTAACATTTCCAAATGATAAAGCTTATGTTCTTAAGTAATTTAAATATAGTGCTTAAGAGGTAAGAAGATTGGACATAATCATCCCTTTTAACAATTTTTAAAAGATAGGAGTTGGATACAATGATTTTTTTATCTTAAAACAGGATTTCAGTGGTGGGGGGGTGGATACTCAGATGTATACTGAACTCAGTATTTTCTTTGTGTTCCAGGAATCTCTTATCACTACTGTCGAATCTAATTCCAGGTATGTGCTGCTGTTTCCTGTTTGTTTGTTTGTTTTGAGACAAGGTCTCTTGGAGGACTCTGGACTCAGAGTTGATCAACACCTCCCCATCTGATCCTCTGCTTGGATTCCCACTGTGCTGCTGCTGCTCAGCCTCCAGTCTGGGCATGCGTGGAATCACCTTTGGGGCTTTCTATCCTTAGGAGCTGTCAGTACTTTTCACAGTGAGCCCAGATGTCATCACCCTCTGGATGTGTCTACACTGAGGACCAGAGAGAACAAAAGGAGTTCCTTATTTCTATGGCAGCCAGTCCCTTGGCTGATGAGTGCTGTGGTTGTTCTTACAGGCAAAGTTCAGTTTCATTCTTCCCTGACACACGGGTGCCTTTTAATACCGTGGTCACTATGTTTCTGCAAGCATGGTTCAGTTTTCATTTGTTGTTACTCAAGATGAATCCCCTAATCCCGGCGCAGCCTGACCCTCTTGTTACTGGAGCCAGGGTTCCTTTCCATGTTCCTGTCCAAGCTCGCTTTTGGTGGTTCTGCCATGTTGACTTATAGACTCATAAACTTATAGACTCAAGCTCAAAACTACACGTTTGTGTTCCACCCCATCAAATTGTATTGTCCCTCTCTCTTAGTGTTCTAGAATGTTCTCTGCCTACTGGTGGTGCTCCTTGCCCTCCTTTTCCTGTCAGCCTATCTCTACTTGGAACTGAAGAGCCCCACTACACTACATACTTAACTTCCACACTGTGCATCTTATAATTGAACTTGTTCTCTGAATAGGTTGATACGTGAAGAGTGAGGTTATGAGGGAAGATGTGTGTGTGTGTGTGTGTGTGTGTGTGTGTGTGTGTAGTGTGTGTGTATACATAGTATCCTTGGGTGCTAAGGGTAGACATTAATTTCTATCTTCTAAAAAGTTGAAATTTAGAGATTGAAAGCCAATTTAAAAATTCCTATCTACATTAAAGCTCTTCCCAGCTGTGTCTCTGATTTTACCCATAACCTCTAATTTGTCATCTATTGAAACTTATAAAAACTGAACAATGTGTAAATTAGATATGCTTTTGAATCTGGGAGACAGACCACAGACTAAGTATTTGGGGCCTGGTTTTTTTCTTGACAGTTTAAATTCATGAAGCATTGATACTAAGTTTGGATATTTGAAGGAGGATCTGAGAATGTTAATGCTGAGTTTGAGTGATGGTCTTATAGTACTTGGGGTTCCAACTCCTTGCTTGGTAGTTCAGGAGACAGGGTCTGCTCTCTGCTGTAGAGCTTGCTGACAGTGTACTCCAAATGGGGACACTGGTCTTCAGATTCTCTCATCTCAGTGCTATTTCAAATGCTTAGTCAGTGCTTGCAAGAGAACATACCATACCAGGAGCATTCCCGGGTGTAGCTTGGTGATACGTAGCCTAGAGTTTAACGTCAGGAGAAAGTCACTGGTCCCAGGCAGCAGTGTCTGTTGAGGCAGCAGTAACAGCTCTCTGTATAAAGTCTGTGGAAATAGATGGAAGCAGGGCATGGGTGTGAGTCTTCTCGTGATGTCAGCAGTCTAGGGTGTGCATTGTGCTCAAGTTAATTTTAGCAAAGCCAAACTGCGCCTTTAGCTAACGTGGTTCTAGAATTAAGAAAAATATACTGTGATAGTCTTCCACCAGTGGGGGGGCAGAGGTTGTGAGGTCTCTGCATTGAGGATCACTCAAGCATCTCTTTGCTCTTGTGTCTTTCTAGTTGGTGGACTAACTGGGTGATCCCAGCCGTCTCAGCCCTGGCTGTAGCCCTGATGTACCGCCTCTACATGGCAGAAGACTAACCTGCTTCTCCAAACCAGGGACGGGGAAGACTGCCCCAGAGAAGGGAGAAAAGAAGCCAGTGTTAATCACTTCCGCTGACAGAAACCTTCCCCTGAGAAAGTAATTGTAATATATCTGTTTCCCTTTCCTTCTGTGTTCGTTGAACAAATAAGAAACTCTTTGTGCTCTTAAACTTTTCAAATGTGCCTTTTTATTCATCAACTTTATTTTGATGTTTCTTCACTACGTAATTTACTTATTGTAAGCATGATCTTTTTAAAAATATATCTGGCTTTTAAAATACACTATGTGTGCCTGTTTGTTTGGTATGATGTCTCTTTAGTGCTGTTTTGGTTTATTCAACAGCAGTGTTTAATGTGCTGATTATTCAAACCCAGGTTGTCTGGGTCATGAAGAAGCAGCCTCGGTGGTTGATTGTTCTTGTCTGAATCGTTCAGTGACAATTGCAGTTAACACATACCTATTACATGCGTGTGTATTAGTTGCTTTCTTGTCTCTGAGTCAAAATAACTAAAGGAAGCAACTGCAAGGAAAAGGAGAATGTAAGTGTCCGTCATAGCCAGGAAGGCCTAAGGGCTAGGATGCAAGCCTGGGACAACACTTTTGTGTCAGGAAGCAGAGAGCTAAGGCTAGAAACAGAAGTGGATTGTCATCTTCAATGACCCATTCCTGCTAGCTAGGCCATAGAGGCAAAGGTTCCACAACCTCCCAAGGCACTACCACTTGATTGGGACCCAGATGTCCAAACACATAATAAGCTTGTGGGGATATTTCACTTCCAAGCTGTAAATTGCCAGTGTTGTTTCTTTTCCAAGAAGATTAAAATTCAGAAGTCTTATCTCAAAGACTGGTAGTTTTTTTCTACTTGAAATGCATGATGCAGCATGAATGTGTGCTACACCATCGGTAAAAGAGGGGCCTCATTTTCTGGGTGTGGCAGATCACAGCAGCATGAACCAGCTCGTGGACTGGGGATGGCTGCTGCAACTGCCCGTCCTCTCTTTCTAGGTCATTTCCCCCAGAGACTCTCAGTTTCGTAACTTTTGAAGTTCTACAAACTCCCCATCTGGAAACAGAGGCATTGTGTGTATGGACTCTTCTTAGGAGATGCCGATTGAGTGAGTCATCAACACACCGCTCTGGAGATACTTGCTGCTTGCTTTTTGGCAGGACCCTAGCTGTTGAACGATGAGCCTTGAGAAGTTCGGTGTGGCTCAGCTCACTCCCTCACTGGACCTCTCGTGAGCTTTCGCTGTTATCCTTTGCCTGGTGCATCATTAGTATCCATGACTTTTCATCTTAAATGTAGAAGCCCAAGGGAGTGATTTACCAGAGGGTAAATGAATTTGTAGTGAACTGGGACAGGGTGACCAGAAGTGGCGATCTTAAGAAACGGCACACCAGAAAGGAGTGTTGTTGTTATGGAGCATGGATTGTTTTTTAAGGATACTTTTCAGTTGCTTTTATTGTATGTGCAGGAGTGTTTTGCCTGCACATGTGTACTACATGGGTGCCTAGTACCCACAGAGGCTAGAATGTTGTGAACTGTCATGTGGATGCTGTGAAATGAATCCATGTCTTCTGTAAGATCAGCAGAACTTAACCACTGAGTCATCTTTCTGGCATCACTGAGAATAGATTGTTTTGTAGTCGGTGGCATGAATCACCCTTTCCCATTATTTTCCATGGTGCTGAGTCAATGCAAGGCCTTGCACATGCTAAATATATTCTGTGTCACTGAGCCATTATCCAAGCCACTCTTGGTCATCACTAATTCTCGTTGTACAGTAGGGAGGGCCAGGGTCGGGCGATAACATGTTCACCTTCTCTATACAGTGCACTCTTCATCATCACTAATTCTCGTCGTGCAGAGGGAGGATTGGGTGATGACATGCTCACCTCCTCCATATTATACACTCTTTAGGTTTCTACCTCTAGACATTATTCCTTATGTGTTAGTCAAAGAGCTAGAGACAGAAGAATAAGGAGCTGTGAACCGGAGTTGACTAGTGCATGTGCATTCTAAAATAAGTTATATACTTATTAAGATTGTAACATTTTGCTAGAAAGCTTCAAACTTTAGGGTGTTGTAAAACATTTCCCTTAGGTCATCTATGAAGTGACCTACATGAATGTATTATATCCCAGATGGTGACAGGATTAATTTAAAAATCAATTTTGCCATCTGCTTATTTGAGAGGGAAGGTGTGTATAAGTGTGTACACATTAGTGTGAAGGTCAGAGTTCATCCTCGGGTATTATTGCTCAGGAGCTCTCTCCTTGGTTTTTGAGATAGAATCCCTCACCTGTCTTGCAAATTAGGCTAGTCTGGCAAGCCAGTGGGTTCCAGGGATCTACTGGTCTCTGACTCCCTCATAGTTAAATTAAGTATGCATCACCATGTCCAGTTTTTACCCAAGGCTGGGGGCTGAACTCAAACCTTCCCTCATGTCTGTGCAGCAAACACTGCTTCCCACTGGGCTAACTCTTTAGCTTCAACTAACGCTTTGCCGTGTCCACTGCGTAGCCTGTGTCCGAGAATGTGCGGAGGGTGTCGGGGATTGACAACACAGAGACTCGTTCAACGGTGTAAAGAAAACTTTAAGCAGGCCTCAAAAAGGCTCAAGAAAACTTCCCAAGAAAGGCCTCCCTCCAGAAAAGCTTCTGCTCTCTCTCTACCCCTGGCTGATTCTGCTCTGACCTCAGAAACTGATTTGGGTGTGTCAGAAGAGGCGGTTAGTCTTTGGAAAAGGTCGAGGTGGGGGGGGTGTTACCGTGGGCCAGCCCTTTTCAGGAACTTATTGTCCTAGGCATTGTATTGTTTTTAGTAAACATTGTCTTAAAACTTTAGTGTTGTCATGAATGATACTAGCATTATCTTCACATTCGTCTCACTTCACTGATTCATGGACTCAAGTGAAGGTACGTAAAGTTCTTGGAAGAAAACCAAAATAAATCTGAGTGATTTGGGGTCAGACAGTGGTTTCTTACATAAAAGCAGCAAAAGCACAGATAACAAAAGAAGAAACAGATACACCAGAATTTAAAATGAAAATCATTTGGGTTTCAAATGACACCATTGAGTAAGTGTAAAGAAACACAAAGAATGGATGGAAACACTTGATTCTACATCGTATGAGAGGGACTTACATTTATAATGTATTAGAAAAAAAACACAACTCGAAAAATATAGAGACTCACAACGGGGACAGAGAACAAGTGACTGGAATCTTAAACCTACATGGGACATATGTATCATGTCGCCTACTCAGGGCTCAGGGAGCACGGAAGGAACTGATGGTAGAAGATCCTAAGAACCCGAGGTTGGGGAGGATTTCTGGACAAACCAGGAACCTGGCATTCATTAACTCAATGTTTTTGTGGTTTCTGGTACAAAACCTACACAAGATCAAGTCAGTTAAAATTCCAGCATTGATGGAGGAGGGGCTCACCAGACCCCACCCCCTAGCTGAGGTGCTATTGGTGGCTTCTGGGGGAGGGGTGTGGCCTCTAGAAGGCTGCTCACAAAGTGTGTAGATCCATGCCCATATGCACGAGGCCACCACTAATTGGCTTCAGTGAATTATAAAAAAGAAGAACATGAAATTGAGGGAAGAATGAGGGGAGGGAGGATCTGAGAAGTGTTGGCTGAGAAAAAGACAGGTAGATATTTAAACAAATTTGTATATGTGTGTGAAATTACTAAATAATGGATAAATGGGGGAAAAAAACCTTCCGAGGCAAAAGATCAATATAGACCCAGTGAAACCACAATTTAGAAGCCTCTCTCTCTGTCTTTTTTTGTTTGTTTTTTGTTTTGTTTTGTTTTTCGAGACAGGGTTTCTCTGCATTGTTTTGGAGTTTGGAGGCTGTCCTGGAACTTGCTTTGTAGACCAAGCTGGCCTCGAAGTCATAGAGATCCTCCTGCCTCTGCCTCCTGAGTGCTGGGATTAAAGGCGTGCACCACCAACACCTGGCTAGAAGCCTCTTTAGCAAGCTCAATGTCGTTAGTTGTTAGGGAAATGCAAATGAGAATCTTAGTGAAGGTTACCTCACCCAATGCCACCCCACCCACACACATGGAATACTTTTGAGAGATGTGGAGGAATTGTGCCTGTCGGGTAGGTACGCAAAGAGTGTGAACAGCGTGGCCTCTTCGGGAATGGCAAGCCCTTCGGAAGTTAAGTGCAAAGCTGCATGACTAGCAGTGACTTTGCTGGGCGTATTCCTGGGAGTAAACATGGGTGCTCACGTAAAGACTTGTGGTGGATTCCCATAGGAAAACCACAAAGTGGACACAAGTGGAATACTCATGACTGGATAAACAAGATGCACTATGGCCATATGGGCCATGGGATGGCTCAATAGGTAAAGGTGTTTGCCACCAAACTCGGTCCTCTGGGTTAGATCATAGTAGACGGACAACTGACTCTCACAAATTCCTCTGACTTCTATAACGATAATCGAGGCTATATAGGGAAAAACAATATATTTATTTATCAGGGAAAGAGAGAGTCGCACATACCAGGAGTTAGAAGCGTGGCTGGCTTCCAGGAGAAAAGAGGGAGGCCCCTTTTCCTTTCACTACCTTTTATCTCTACCTTGACCCCGCCCTGTTGGGCGGGTAGCTTTGTGGGTTCACTCCTACAGACTTCCACATGAGCTGTCCTGTTAGCATTCTCTCTCTCTCTCTCTCTCTCTCTCTCTCTCTCTCTCTCTTTCTCACACACACACACACACACTTAGGCATAATAAGACACAATCTAATAGTATGGGCAGTGCATGCTACAGCATGTCTCAAAATCTGAAAGCATGCTAAGTAGGAGATGCCATTCCAAAACCGTGCATTTTGTGTGATTCCAGTATTCAGAACAGACAACTCTGTAGACACCATGGTTTTCTGGGGCTTCAAAGCAGGCCCGGGGAACAAGGACGGTGACTGGAAATGGGAACAGAGTTTCTTTTGGAAATAATGAAAATGTTCTGACTGATTAAGGTGTTAGCTGTGTGACTGTGTGGTCCTGAATAGTCTAAATGCCACTAATCTGTTTTGCATGAATTCTATCCCAACAAAGCTCAATTAGGTCAGAATACACTCACATCTGGGCGCTAGAACTATTCTCCAGCTCTTATCTCCAAGCCACCAGTCCTCTCACGCCAGGGTGGAAGTCCTCCTCTGTAACTTTGCTTCCTGCTGTTGTCACCATTTGAAATAGCCTCCCTCAGGGCTCTATGTGAAGCCAGAGAAGGAATTTTCCCTTCTACTTTGCATTGCTTACTT